AAGTATAGCGTTTTACAAGATATTTAATATTATTATTATTATTATTATTATTATAGCTATATTTTATAATATTGAATAATTTTAGCAGAATCCCCGCACCCGTATCCATACTCGGATTCGCACCCCCGAATCTTAAAATTTAAATTTTACCGAATCCGACTCTCGGATTCGCATCCGTCTCGGATACCCGCACCCGAGTCCGAGCAACTTAGCGCGCACCTTACCTCTACCTTGGGAGGTATAGAGGTTGTTTTCTATAGAACCCGACTTAAGGAATAGCATATCAAAGCATATACTAGAAAAATGCATGACAAAGCATTCTGGAAAAAAAACAGTAGCTACAACAAATAGTGCAAAATCGAAGTACAAGAGATAGTAGATAGTACTAGAAATCTGAGGACAAGCACTATTGGAGAAATACTACGACTACTGGAGGGAAAGGATAAGCAAGACTACTAACCTTCTACTTTTTGTGTATGCATACAAAAAGTATGAGCATGGATGATATTTTGAATTTTGCCTCACTCACTCAGTTGCAGCAGTTTTATGGAAACTTTTTGTCTCGTTCCTAATTTGCCTATGATTCGGGCTACGAGGTTGAGATGGTTCGGGCATGTGCTGAGGAGATGCACCGATGCCCCAGTGCTGAGGTGTGAGAGGTTAGTTATGGATGAATTTAGGAGAGGTAGAGGTAGACCAAAGAAATATTTGGGAGAGGTGATTAGACAGGACTTGGCACAGTTGCAGCTTACTGAGGACATGATCTTATATAGGAAGGTGTGGAGGACACGAATTAGGATAGAAGGTTAGTAAGTAGGATTGTGTCCATACTAGTAGGTAGGACTTAGGAGTGCTTTGTCTTGTTGCCCTTACTAGTAGTCTGAGGACTACTCTTGTAGTTTCTTGTTCTTCGATCTCTGTGACTATCTATTGTTTCATGTAGGTTGTTTGTAGTAGTATTTTGCTGTAGTACTGTTATGTTACTATTTATTGTCTATTGTACTTCCATTATGTCTTTTCTTAGACTATTTTTGTCTTGAGCTGGTGTTTTATCGGAAACAACAGTATTTTGCTGTAGTACTCTTATGTTACTATTTATTGTCTATTGTACTTCCATTATGTCTTTTCTTAGACTATTTTTGTCTTGAGCTGGTGTTTTATCGGAAACAACAGTATTTTGCTGTAGTACTCTTATGTTACTATTTATTGTCTATTGTACTTCCATTATGTCTTTTCTTAGACTATTTTTGTCTTGAGCTGGTGTTTTATCGGAAACAACAGTATTTTGCTGTAGTACTCTTATGTTACTATTTATTGTCTATTGTACTTCCATTATGTCTTTTCTTGAGCTGGTGTTTTATCGGAAACAACCTCTCTACATTATCACTGAGGTAGAGGTAAGGTCTGCGTATACACTACCCTCAGACCCCACTGTGTGGGACTACATTGGGTATCTTTTGTTGTTCCTAATTTGCCTTTGTGAAATTTTAGAGTTGAGCACATTAGGCAATATTTTCAACCTTTTAAATTCATTATGGAGTAATATATTGATCAAATGGACAGATTCAGCTTTGAAACACTTCATGGATGTTGAGATATCAGGGTGGTGTGGGTTAGGCGCACGTCACAGGCCCATTAGGCACCGAGTATCGAATTTTACACCGCTGACAGGGATTTCTTGATTATTCAAGAAAGGAACATAACAATAATATTAAAGAGAGAGATATCAGGGTGAACTCCTTGAATCTTTCTCCCTTTATATGTCTGTCTATGTTTGCATGTGTAGTGGATTTTCTTTTGACAATCTCTATTCTCTACAAGGGCCTTATGTGTGGTACCCATAAATAGCTAGTTGACTAAATATCCATATCTGTGACAGGGAAAAAATGGTTGCTTCGCTCATTGCATCTGGGGCATCGGCTGGAGCTGTTACAGATCCCTCTTCACGAGATCCAGTTGGTAAAACTGCTGCATCAATTGCTTCCAGCTGTGATCATAAGGGACTTGCAGGATATCTTTCAGAGGTAGCTCTCACCAGTCATCTTTCATCCCTCACTTTAGAGGAGAGTGAGCTCTCAAAAGGTACTGCTGATGTGGAAGCAGAGAGAACTATTAGTAGCATATCAAACACAAGTGCCACCATAAATGAGGATCAGCGTTCTTTAAACGACACGTTAGCTGCAGTCCGTAATGCAGCTCAGGCTGCTGCTCGTATACAGTCTGCATTCCGAGCACATTCGTTCCGCAAAAGACAAGAGAGAGAATTTGGTGTCTCTGCTAGTGGAGATGAATATGGTATCCTCTCAAACGATATTCAGGGGCTTTCAGCTGCATCAAAGTTGGCATTCCGCAACCCGCGAGACTACAACTCAGCAGCCTTAGCTATTCAGAAGAAATATCGAGGATGGAAAGGCCGGAAAGATTTCCTTGCATTCCGCCAGAAAGTAGTGAAGATACAGGTGCTTTAAATGTTTGAAGTCAAGATTGATATTTTAAGCCTCATTATACTCGAAAATATGATAGTTAAGCGGTGATAGACTTCAAATACAATCTCTCACTAATAAAGAAGTGTAATCATATTTATCTTGGGGGAAAAAATAATATATATAAGTTGGGAACATTCTTCAATTTTTTTAGTTTTTTGGTTTTTGGGAGGGTGGAGGATGGAGGATGGAAAATGTTTGGAGATTAGAAAATAATTTGTTCAGCAGAGAAAGTGACTTCCAGGTGATTTCCATGGCAGGCTCATGTACGAGGCTATCAGGTTAGAAAGCAATACAAGGTATGTTGGGCTGTTGGAATCTTGGAGAAGGTGGTGCTAAGGTGGCGTCGACGAGGTGTTGGTCTCCGGGGATTTCGACATGACACAGAATCAATTGATGAAATTGAGGATGAAGACATTCTAAAGGTGTTCCGCAAACAAAAAGTTGATGCTGCTCTTGACGAGGCTGTCTCGAGAGTTCTATCAATGGTTGAATCTCCAGGGGCACGTCAGCAATATCATCGGATTCTTGAGAAGTATCGGCAAGCTAAGGTGAGCTAAAGAATCATTCTACTACGTCATTTTTGTGATTAATATACATGAGCTAGTGAACTTCCAATAGGTGAATATTTACTTAGTATTTTGCATGTCGAATGCTTTATGTACATTTTGGGAATGAACTAAATCCTTTCTGTATCACCTTTGTGAGATTTTAGGGGCACAGATGCAGTAAGTATATATTCCATTATGCTTTCAATTTTCTTTTACCTTTTCTTGAAAGGATGGAAAAAAAAAGGTTTTTGTTATTCCCATCTACTAGTGTCACATAAATGTAAATATTTGATTTCATGGCTTTAGAGAAGATGTTGTCGTAAAAATAGTCAGGTTCTGGAGTAGCTACATCGTATGCAATGGAACAAGGACAAAGAAAAATCCAAATATGACGATATTGGTGGCAGTGTCTATGCAACTGGAAAAATATGAGTGAATGAATGTTCTTGTGTGTCTGAATTATTTACAGCCTATCTGGGATAGGGGTGGAAACATAATTAGCTTCTTGATCCATGTGTTTTGTCCACAGCATACTCCATTCTTTTGAAGGAAAATTTCCTTTTTTAAGGAGGGGGATAGGGAGCATTTAGTTCTCCTTTCATAGTTCGAAATCAGGAAAATCGAATCAACTAATAATCTTTGTTGCACTGCAGGCTGAACTTGAAGGAGCGGACAGTGAAACAGCATCAACTGCTCATGGAGACATGTCTAACATGGAAAATGATGACATATACCAGTTCCCTAGTTATTAATCCAACTGACCTCTTCATTGTCATCCAAACTAGTTTCAGTAGGTTCAAGAATTATACATTGAAGTTTGGTTATTTCAATTTGTAAGTCATTGTAAGGTATGTATTTTGTAGGTGCTTCTGTTCATAATATGTGTATAGGTTTTATAGGTTCAAAACTTGAACTTTATAATATTGGATGCCTGCAAGATTAGCTTGGAAGTTTTATTTTTCTTCTCTTAACATGTGCTTGAGCATCTTTTAGGTGCTAAAAAATTGATCTTTAAAAGGGTAAATACTAGGGGTAGGTTGTGGTATAGTCACTTGCATGACTGCCTATTTGGTTACAAAATCAATCTCAACCCTTCTAAATTGACGGATTTCACTATTCGTGTGGAATCTCACTTGTTGATACTCAAACTTGAATGAAGTTAAAAAATGTATCATCTCATTATCTTGATAGGAGAAACGCAACTAAATTTACTTTCGTGTAGTTGGTGAAATATTTATTTGTTTTTCTCCAAAAATTGATAAGTGAAACCCAAAAAAAAATGTATTAGTAATGATTCATTAATTATAGATAGATTATTTTTATGCACTATTTGGTTGGTGCATTAAAAATAGCATGTATTGCATAAAAAAAATTATTTACAAAGATTATGGTGGAAAAGATGTCAAGAATGTTTTAAAGGGCAATTGAGTCTTTAACCATGCTAATGCATGCTTTAAAATCATTGCATTACTAATATGTAGAAATTCATGGTATTAGTAATACACACTTTAATATACAATAGAGTGTATAACTAATGTTTACATTAGCTATACATAGATTGGAAAAGAGTACTACACAATAAAGTGTATAACTAATATTTGCATTAATTATTCATAGGTCGAAAAAAAGTACTAAACAAGGCATTAGTACTACACAAAGTTAATGCATACATTACTCTACCAAACGACCCGTCCTGAGAAAGCGTTTGGTTGTTCAAATTGGAGAAGTAATTTCCTTACAAAATTCAGCATAATCAATACCTTGTTTGTTTGAATAAAAGAGATGAGTATATATATATATATCAACATGACTTAATACTTGTTTGGTTGCAGTTTTGCAATTTAAAAATATATATGCAAAAGAATTGATACGTGTGAAGTGATGAATGGTTAATGTTAACGGCAGAAGCTGAAGTGGATTGAGGTAGCTGTTGACTCTCTCTCACACTCTATTATAAACCATTTGTTTTGTATTGTTGTATAATATTGTATGACCCACAAATCAACACGTCTCTCTTTGAATGAAAGAAGAAGCAACTGGAAATTATGGAAAGGGAAAGAGAAAGGGTGAAGAAAGTGGAACTCATACAGAAAGCAATCAACCAATTAATAAATCATGAACAACTCCAATCAAAAACATGTCATCTTCTTGATGACAGCTTCGTTGCCGTTGATGATGATGAAGAAACCGACCACCGCCACCAACTCCTCTCACAACTTTTAACTCAGGTATGAAATTTTCAACTTTCTATGTTATGATCATAAAGAGATTAAACAAGTTCAGATTCCCATATCTAGTCCCTTTTGTGTCCAGTTTTCATGAGCTAATTTTTTGTATTACTCTGATTCTTTACAGCTGGATTCACTAAAAGAAGAATCTCAATTTGATCAAATGAATGAATCAACCAACTTACAAGAAGCACCAGTTGAACTTGAAGCTGAAGAAGAAGAAGAAAAGGTTGTGAAAGAGCTAAGGAAGATACAGAAGCAGAATTTTATCACTCAATGTCTTTTATCAGCCATGATTGTCCTCACCTTGACATGGCAACTATCTGAGGTTTCTATCATTTTGAAAATGAAAGATGGATTAAATCATCCCTTTAGATCCATTACTAGTATGCTTACGGGCTGGATTAAAGGCCCTCCACCTGTATTAAATGGTCGAGACGACGATCTAAACAACTCTGCAAAACATCTTAAACATCAAGTTGAAGCCATGTCTCTCCCAAAGCTAAAAGTTCCGGAGCTTCCACATATGGAGTTGCCATCTTTCGACTTCATCAATGAAGAAGACTAGCATTTTCCATTCTGTTTTTACACAAGTATTTCAAAACACAACAACTCATGCATGTAATATTGTAAAACGTAAGAATAATATAAGGTGGTATTATTAGGATTGGTTTGGTTGAAGCATTGATTCATGATGTGCAGTGTACTAGTATACTTTTCCATAATTTGTTTTCAGCATAAACTTAACAAACCAATGACACTCATATTTTGATCTTCAATACAGGTGGTAGATTGATGTCATCAAAAAGTCAATTCTCCAACATCAACAGAGCAGAAACCGGAGCAACTCAAAAACATTAAATCATAGCATTTTCTAAAACAAGTACATGAAGGAGAGACACAATATCACTATTTCAAGAAACTTGAATTTCATCCAAAAGTCTTAAACTTGGAAAAGACGGAACAAATTAACATGAGTTGCATTCATCTTGAGCGTATCAGCCATAATTCAACCGGAAAATGTCATTGAAGACGTAGAAGCTTCCTTGTGGTGTTGGCATCAGATGAAACATCTGCAAGAAAAGGAAAATTGGAAGTTTAAGCCACAGAAAATAACAAATTATCAAAGTGTCATCAAGGACAAAATAATGTACAATCTTTTGAAACGAATCCTGTGAGTCACATACCAGGAATGTAATAAGTTCTTTAGAATTCTTTGCTTTAAATGTAACAAGTTATATAGGAACAGTTAGTGTTATTTAAATTCATTGCCGATAAGGGGTTAAATTTAGCTGAGGGCCATTCACCACATATATGAAAGTTTTACCAAAATTTCCATCAGAATAAAGAGGTTAAATCTGAAACTAAGTCATGCCTGAGTCAAGATTAAATTTCTGTTTCTTTTTCTTTAAACCGCATTATTGGGAGTTTGGCCACGGCTGACCAAAAGCGCTTATATAACATGTGACAAAGGTTCCCAATAATTTACACTTTGAACAAAGATACCTTCACCAGGGTGGTACAAGAGATACAATCTACAAGCACAAGTTCCACAGCGATTGATCCCGGTAGCTTTAACAATAAAAACTGATTTTCTATCAACAATTCCTAAAATGCTAACCCAAGTTCCACAGAGATCGATCCCGGTAGCTTTAACAATAATAACTGATTTTCTATCCACAATTCCTATAATGATAACCCTAACAAAGCTAACGTCAGTCTTACATTGTAAGTACACTACCCAACTATGGGAGGTTTTCCTAAACATCTCTGGCCAAAGTTGGACCATGCCAGCACATACTTCCAACCTCTTTAGCTGCTGGATTAGAAGAGGGGGGAG